ACCGATTCCATAATTTTGAGAAAAAGCACCTCGTCCTGCTTGGTGATTTTATCCTTGAGGTAGACTGGACTGCTAATACTGCCAAGAGTTCGGGATCTACCAGATTTCTAGAGTTTTTCAAACTGTGGCTTAGCCCATAATGTTACAGAACCTACTCGTGGCGGATCAATCCTCGATATTCGATATCCGCCCCCACAAATACAAAGCATCGTTATCCCAAGCATTTGTTGAACCTTATGGCTCAAAAAATGCGGTTGTTCCACACACTACCCAATGCCTTAACTGACCCTCTCTACAAAAATGTTTGCTTAGAATTGGATCGCCATTCTGAGAAGGTTCTTGAACTACAGAGAAAGGCATGCTGGCTCGGATCCAAAAGCAATGCGGTGTTTTCCTGAATAAAATTCAAAATGGAACCTCGTACAGTTCTTCCAATGCTTCGATGAGGCTGGAAACCAACACGTCTATGATACAGCCAAAGCTGAAGCTCTAGCACAACACTTTGCCTCTGTATTTATTCCGGACTCTAGCCCACTTGATGAAGTCTCACCTTTGCGAGATAGATTCCCTTTCGACAGTATCCATTGATCCACTAGACGTGCTACGCGTGTTGAAAGCACCTAAATGTTTTGCTGCTGCAACCATTGCTGGGATCCCGCAAATCGTTTATAGAAAGTGTGCGCATTCTTTGTACAAGCCTTTGAGCACGATTTTCAATATCTCGTTGCTGTTAAATGAAACCCTGCAATATGGAAAGAAGCAGTGGTAACAGCTATACCTAAGAAGAGTGATTCTTCTCTCATTGCCTCGTATCGTCCGATTAGCATAACCTCACCCCGGTCAAGGTGCTAGAAAAATTAGTTCGCGATAAGATCCTTGCTTGGCTTGTTGAAAGAAACTCGATTCCGCCTGAGCAGCATGGCTTTTTGAGGGGTGCGTCCACAGTAACCCAGCTGGCTGACTGCGTTTTCGATTGGACCTTAGCCGCCAACTGTGGAAAATCTGTTGATGTGATATATTTCGATTTATCAAAAGCCTTCGATAGATTTAATCACAAAAAGTTGATCGAAAGCAGCTTGGCATTGAAGCGCGGTTGTTATGTTGGACCCGTTCTTATTTGGAGGACAAAAATGTGCGTCAAGGTTGGTAAGGCATTCTCTAAACATTACTCGTGTATAAGTGGCGTCCCTCAGGGGGTGTTTTGTCGCCACTGCTTTTCTTGGTGTACACCTGTGATTTGCCTGCTAGGCTGAAACTGAACACATCAGCTGGTCGAAGTGCGTATTTATGCAGATGCTGTTAGTCTACGGCTTCTACGATAACAATACTGATTGTGTTTGATGCTCTTTCTAAGTCTATTGCGAATATGATGGAGTGGGCCTCGGCTTGGGATATACCTGTGAACCTTTCTAAAACGACCGTCCTTCACATTGGCAGAATAGAGTACTGGGACTATTCGTTTGGCGATTACATTCTTAGTACCTCACATGAAGTACGAGATCTCGGAGTTCTTTTGAATACTGAGCTTAATTTTGAGCCACATATCAAGAGAGGTTACTACGAAAGCTTTCTCTGCATTTTTCGCCATTTGCCCGAACTTTCGATGACCACCTAATCCTGGTTAAACTACACAAGGCATTTATCATTCCTGTTTTATAGTACGCTTCCCAAATATGGAGTCCTAATAGCAGTAAATTTCAGATTGAAAAAGTACAACAGGTCTTCACAAAAATCCTCTTTCACAGATGCCAGTCTAGTTTCGGATACACTTTTTCTAGCATTCCAAGGTACAATGAAACATTAAAAAATTTCAATCTAAAGAGTCTCCTTTACAGGCGCGTTTTCAATGACTTAGTATTCTGCTACAAGGTTTTGAGAGGAGAACTAAAAATCAAACCAAGTAAGTATTGGGTTTTCAAGCCATGTCGTGGCCGCACCAATAAAGCTGTCCCTTCATTATAAGAGTTCTGATGGGTATTTCCAAGCCAAGACTCTGAACTCCCTTTTCTTCCGAGGCGCAAGATGGCTGCTCCCATCCGATGTTTCGGAAGCCAACTATCGGTCTTCAAAAAAAGGCTAAGCAAAATTGAACTATTATCAACTCTTGACATTACATATTTCTAGCTTTTCTTCCTGCTAATGTGTACGTTCAGGATATGTAGTACCGAATCCTATTGATTTGTGGGCCACTGTGAATTGGAGTCTACTCTTTCGGAAATTTTATTTTTGTGGCATCTACCTACTGAGTACTGTTTACTAACCCTCGTGCTGCTCTTGTTGTGATGGTCACTGCATCCACCCACCGTTTGCCTTCTCTCGTCGCGGTTGTACTGCCTATCTTCTGCGTCAGTATTATCTTGGCCAATTTTCGTGGATCCCTCATGGATTATGCTACTACCGGGCTTTTTGTGAATTCTGTTTCTTCTGTTCTAGGTGCAGGTCAACAAGTATTTGGTTGGCAGATACTTGTGTCTAGGTCTTACGCCCTGGGTTCGTGTTTAGATCAATGAGGCAACTACTCTGGCCCGCCCGGGAATAACCCTGGTTATTTGCGTTGCCCAGGCTGACCATGCACTTATTTCGCTACCTATTTCGCTACTTTTCAAGCCTCTGACTAGCAAAGCGAAGTACGCTTCCTACTGCTGTACTTTCCTAATAAAATTCTAAAAGGATCTCTTTATTTATATCTATTAGCCAACGTAAAACTGTCATCTACATTTCTTTTTCTTTGCAGCTGCTAGCAGCTTCCTAGGTTTACATTTACTTTTTGCCGCTAGGATTGGGCAAACGGTCGGAGCTTGGATTCGTACTTTTACCGTTTTTTTCTTTTCAGTTTCTCGCTTTTTTGTGTTCTGTTTCCTTTTTGTTTAGTATGTCAATTTAGTTGATTTTTTACTAACCCAGCCCCTGCCATGGTTTCATTTTCTTTGGTGCGCACCTAGAGTGCATCGGAAATGAAATGAAATGAGACACCAGCATCGGCATTCCTGCTAACATAATATCACCTTTCAGATTCCCATTTCGAGACAAGAGTTCAGCGGTGGACTAGTAGCTGATTCTGAAATTGCATTAATTCAATAATTAATGTTATTAATTGTGTTTTCCGAGGTTTTGTAAAGTTTTTAAGTTTTTCCGTGTATGCAAGTTCCGCACTGCGCATGTTGTGCCCCCCTAGCGGTGGTGCCACAACGGCCCTATCCGGTACTGATTGCCGCACTCATTACGACACCTTCTCACTCAAACGGTCGTACACAATCTACCCTCCTATTGGGAACTCCCGACGATGGTGCGCTCTGTTCAAGATAGGACGAGCAGAATCGGGGAGCCCAACCTTCAGCCCCGTCCCGTTCACTTTTGAACGAAGAGAATGGCACACTACTTCAGCTAGGGGCCCCTTCACCTAGCTCATGAAAAAATCGGTATATGCAGTTCACAAATTGCCTCCAATATAGACTTGGATTCGAAAGAACACGAGGTCATTCAAATAGAACGAGCAACCACAGATAGCATAGCACTGAGCACTTCTCTCTGCTGAAATCAATCAACAGGCATCTGCTGTCACATTCCGATTTTTGAAAGATTGAAGCAAAATCCCTTTGACCAGTCACAAAATTACACCATCTTACACCCGAGCCGAAGCCGCGATTACATGGCATGTAAAAGGGTGAGAAACGACGCAACAGAGGAAATGGGCGAATGAAATTCAAAGCTTCCCGTGTTCATATTCAGCGAATGCCTGTCAACCTGAGAATGTGACCTTTGATAATTGATGATCGATTGGATTTTGTTGTGGCAAGTTTCGGACGACGCGAAAAATCCACATCCCCGGCGCGAGCATTCCCAGCTGGTTTGAGGATTTAAGTGAGCTTCTAGAAAACATCAGTTCACTTTTCCTCTGCATTGCGCCATGCATCCGCTACTGTGCAAAGGCGTGGCTCCCAGCTAATGTCTTCTTCGAGCAAGCAGATTGCTCCTACGGTTCAGAAAGACCCAAGTGTGTACTGTTTTTCAATTGTATTATATTATTAATTCATGACGTCGTAGGCGCCCATCATATTTCTTGTCATTGCTTTTCCCCACTTCTAAGCTTGCAACTTGCTGTCCCTACAGATGTTCTTCACAACCAACAACTATGAATAAAATTTTGTGATTGTACGAAATCTCAGTATTGCTGCTCTCCGACTTTTGAATGAGCTTACGACCACCCCTCTCCTTCGCAGCAGACCCCCCCCACGCTCTGTGATTTCCACAATCGTCGTGAGCTGCTGTACGCGTACATTCGAAATCCCTGAAAATGTGTCGGTGACTTGCGTTTGGTGGATCTTTTCATTCTGAGACACTTGACACATTTGTGCTCATGTCTTTGCCCAAAAGAAGAAGATGACAGTTGTCTCAACTTGGAAAAAGAAGATGACACTTGTCCCAACTTGGTATGTCTTTCGAGTAACCCATTCTATACCATGTCCAGATGCCACGCCTACCCCATCCTAGGGATAGGGAGTGTACATAGTGACAACCTGATATGATCGCCACAACCTACTCAATATTCACAGACACGCTCGCGATCGAAATCGGTCAAATGTGCGGCCGGCATACTAATAAGATACCGAGCACAAAGGTGAATGAGAGAGCAGGAACAAACAGACATACCTTATATCTACCTCATGCACAAGTTCGCTTGTGAGTGCGTGAGGGCATGGTCAGAGGGGTTCTCCGTTAGTGTCAGTTCTATTTCCTTGTCGCCTTACTTTCACCATTCGAAACAAGGAGAGCTAGTAGCGGAATAGCGCTCCACCAAGTTACTTCAAAAATGAGGGGAAGGAAGTAAAGCCCAGTGCTTGCGTGCAGGACTACCACGTCCAAAAAAAGGCGCCTGAACATCAAATGAAAGCCGACCATGCCATCTAACCATTTGTGACCTATTAAATCAGTTTTAGGAATTTAGGACATACTTAATCACGTGCGCTCTGATTCCACAATTTGTTTATTAATAATGTTCATTACACCCGATAGCACTGAAAGATTATGCAGTGCATGAAAATCGCAATGTACAGTAAAATGTTTCGAGTGCTCGTCGCCACATTGGATGGACCTGACGTCCATTGCGGGCCGTTGACAGCTGATTCAGCAATCGGAGGCAAATGACTACTTGTGTTTTCCTTGTTTTCCTCGTCCACCAACACTGTGGAAGACGCCTTCGCTACAGAACCAGCTGGCTTCCTCGACGGCTTCAGTTTCTGTGGCGAAGTGCAGCTGGCTAAAGTGGATTGTTATAGAGAGTTATAGTCAATCGAGATTACCACGGTGAATCTTTTGGGAAAGGCTGTTTCGAATAGCTTGGCTAAAGTTTCGTCTTGAGGGAACAAATTACAAACCTTCTTCTTCAAGAACAATTGTCTTCTCTGCATTTTGGGAGAAATTGAAATCTCTTGAGCAATGAGGTCCAGTTGAAGCCAGATGCAGTCGACCGGACGAAAATTCTGCTACCTGCACAGAACCCCAAATTGATACGCAACAAGAAAAAGTAATTTCCAAACAGGATTTTGAAAGAGATGTCGCCGAAATGCTCAAGAAAGCTAAGATATTAGCAGTAGCATCCAACCAAGACCCAAGTTGAGTGAGAACTCACGAAGCATGATTGTGTTTCTTGGCCGCTTAAAGCGAACAAATAAAGAGACTTCCCATCCCTCCACGAAGCGATGCACTGATACTGTCGAGCTGAAAGGTATCAGTATTTTCAGAGGAATGATAGGTGATATGGGGCGTGCATGTTGTTGATGGGACAACCACTATAACAACTGCTAAGATTCAGTAAGGAGTATCACCATTGGAAGGGGGTATTCAATTTGTATTGCACCGCAGCTATAGTTTAAACGTCGTTCCAGAAATTGATATAGTGGGTAGGGCGTGAACGTCAACGATGGACGCCAGATAGTGTTAATCGTAGGAACTGATAATAGCGGATAAGCAGCCTTAGAAAGAAGACTCCAGGAAATTGAATTGACTTGAAAATTGAGCTGACAAGGGACATCAGAGCGGAAACCTTTGGAAAATTATTGTGCACGTCGCAGCATGAGTGGGGAAGTGGTTTCAACTGGCAACTAAAGGGGTAGGACCGAACACTGATGAATTCGGTAATGTACTGGACGTTGACCACCCTTTACATCCGATGGTAAGTGAATAAGAGTGTAGCGCAAGAGCGACTGCGGGTCGAGGACTGCAGAAGGTGCACTTGTCATCCGGGCACTTGATTAGGCGGCCAAGGGTCGCGACGCGGCTGCAGCGCGTCACGACCGCGGCGATCAGCTGTTTCCATTTGGCCATTTTCTCCCTAAATTTCAGTGTATTTCCTATTTTTTCTTTGGTACGTTGTTTCATTGCCTTTATGAAGTGTGTAAGGATGTGGATTCTTTTTGTGCTTGCAATAGAGTGTTTTTGCAGCTTTTTTTCACATATATGTCCAATTCTCTGCTTAAATGTTTAATTGTGCGCAAAAATCAGAGGAATCTCACTCATAATTCACCTTGTGAAGACAAGGACCAACTAATCTCGAGAAAAGCAGCCAAAACAGTGTAAATTTGGCTAAAATGATCGCCGCGCTCGTGGCACGTCGCAGCCCTTGGCCGCCTACGTCAATGCCCGAATGACGACTATAGACAGAACAGTGGCGTTTCGTCACACAATGGGCGCAGACGTAACCATGCTCTGCAGATGCGGACTTTGCTACCTGATGGAAGGGTGTAACTTCTACAAGACAGGTCATTGCGAGCATCATCTTAACTTCGCGACTAACATTCATTTATTAATTCTCCCCGGGACTTACCTGCTCGGGTGCATTTTTCAAGCACCTGTCAAAAATGGCGAATAGCAAAGGCGATATAGTCTCTTGAAGTTTGGCAGGGAATTAATACTGGGATTTCATTTTGAAATGTGTGATCAGTCCGCTTACAGTCAAATGCGACATCCGTTGAGCAATGCGATGCGGTAATCTCCATTATGCTTTGATTTTCGCAGTCGACAGTTACGTTGTAGCAGTCCTGAGAGCGCAATTCTTTCGGAGTAGTGTACTTACTGAAAAAAGAGGTCGAAACTATTTTGTCATGTCTTGGAAACTCTCTTCACAAAACTCAAATACATCCAAATAGAATCTATTAAATATAAAATATAATATAAATTTCAAATAGTTGGATCACAAGTATAATCGTACCCAACGATTCCACATGGCGACGGAACTACACTTTTGATCACTGCAGCGGTCCATGGCCACTGAGCGAATTCGCTGTCGGCACTGAATGGATGGTTTCTAGTTGGAGGACTTATGTAGAGGAGTGAAAGAAGTATAGAGCAACCAAATGTCTTCAAAAACGTCGTAACATAAAAATGACGTGACGTGATGTCTACTCGTAACTGCTCCGATATAACACTTATCCAGGTCAACAAAGCCTTCATGCTTAGGAGAGTAAACCATGGAAGATCTTGTAACCCAAATATGAACTGCCTTCTGCAAGTCTCTGAAGCCCTAACGCGCTTTTGATACACAGTCCACAGTCACCTACAAGTATGTAAGCTCGGAAGATAGTGGAAACCGCAACGTATGACCCTGTACAAGTTTTGCATCTGAAAGTTTCAAAATAGCAGCTGTAAGGCAAAAAGTTGTACAAATGACTCTGCCAAAAAGTCAGTGACTCCGCACTTGTTCATAGGTCTGATAGGTCATCGGTTGTCTTGAGGCGGAGGTGGTTTTATAGTAAGTGGCACCTTTACCACCCGCACGGTCCGGAGATAAAATCCGGGTCTTCTCGCGCTTAGACCACCCAAGCCTTTTACCCTGCAGGAGGTAAACTG